TTATCATTTTGCAAGAGCAAGAATATTTATTTAGATAATTTCTCATAACAAAAAAAAAAATAATAATAATAATAATTACCCAATATATATATATATATATATATATATATATATATATATATATATATATATATATATATATATATATATATATATATATATATATATATATATATATATATATATATATATATATATAAATTTTAGCTTCGATTCCTGCTCCGGCCAAAATCCGGTCATTTTTACAAATCCGGCTTCGGCAAAATGTTAGCAAATTCGGAATAGTTTTGGCCGGATTTCTGAATTTTGATCAGATATTACATATTTCTTTCCTGTGATAACATGTATACTTAATATTTTATTTTTACAAATCAATGTTTTTAGCAATTCTATATCCTATGAACTTCATGTTTGTTTTGGTATTTGTATTTACATTTCTTTACAATTTAATTAGCTAACCTAATTTCAAACTACAACGCAACAAAAAATTCTGAAGGGAAGACACACAATATTCTGCAATAATCCAGGTGTAAAGACTATGAAGTCAATCCTAATCAAGTCATTGAATGAGCATTATAAAGGAATTGAGGAGAAACCTCTTTATATAGTGGTGACACTGGTTGATCCATAATTTCAAACTAAACTCTTCTAATTACAGGCAACACTGACAGGTGAAAAATCAAGATTGAAGTCAATCTAAGCATGCTGAGCAGCAAATTGACAAAATTAAAGAAAATCCAGCAAAACAAGCCCGGCTGCACATGAGCAACAATTACCAACAGCCATTGACACTCAGCTAAGCCAAGAAAAAAAGTTCTATAGAATTTCTCTAAATTTTTGAAACATATGGCCTATAGAAACTCTATAGAATTTATATAAAATGTCTATTAATTTTTATAGAAATTGCTATAAAACTTTTTAACAACAAAAATGAAGTTTAACAGAAAACAGATGTCACTTGGTATTCTGAATAGTCAACAATGTTGACCATTTTCAGAACCAAGTAGGGATGTACAGGATTTTGGCTCCTGTAGTTTTGTTTCAAAAACTACAGGAGCTCCGGCTCTAATTCCGGCCAGATCTGTTTGTAGAAATCCGGCAAATGCGGCTCCGGCAAGATTCGGAAAAATTAAATCCGGTACAGCCCTAATATATATATATATATATATATATATATATATATATATATATATATATATATATATATATATATATATATATATATATATATATATATATATATATATATATATATATATATATATATATATATATATATATATATATATATATATATATATATATATATATATATATATTGATGAACTTTACTTCATTTCAGTACTAGCTTGAATCATTTTCAAAGAAACTTTTCTTAAAATAATACTTGGGACCCATTAAACAGAAAATAGACATTAGCATGTACTAAATATTAGACAATTGAGCTTAAATTAGGCTTAAATTAATCAAAAAAGATAACCACAGCACTTAAAAAACACTGAGTTGTGATTATTATACAAAATTAAATTTTTGAAGTCGTAATTTTATTTATTATTTTTTTATTTTAATAAAATTTCCAATATTCCTTTTCATTAAAACACTGTGTATACACCTTTTAATCAACTGAGAAACTAAAGATCAGGAGTTTAAAGACCAAAGAAGAATTTCAATTCACAATCAATTAATTTCACAATCTACTTTGTCTTAATGCCAATGTTATGTAATGGTACCATTATATTATGAAAAATAGTAATTTACTCAAAGAATAACATTTTAAATCAAAAGATTAATCAAAAAAATTAATTTGTGGAACTATACATAAAGTGAATAAATAATTATGTATCAATAAAGTAAAATATTATTTTTTCGAAAGGCATTTCTAAGATAAATGGCTCTAGATTGAGTCAGGTTTTTTACCACTAGTCTACCCCTGGTAGACTAGTAGTAAAAAACGTTACTAATTCTAGAGGTTTAAGGATTAAATCCACACTGAAAGTACCACACTTCAGTTGTTTTTCAGCGCATTTGACTTTTTTAACTTCATGTTTTGAAGTTTAGGGTTGAGAGAGATTTGCAAAATTAAAAATAAAAAATCACCTCCTAGACAATAATGGCTTCCGCTGAAGCCTTGAGGAGGTGAATTTAACATTTTAAAATTGTATAAAAATACTCACCATATTTGTAGCTTTATCTTTTTACCATCAACTTCAACAGTCTTTATTTTGAAATCAATCCCTTAAGGTATAACACATAAGTTGCATATATATATATATATATATATATATATATATATATATATATATATATATATATATATAATAATATATATATATATATAATATATATATATAATATATATATATATATATATATATATATATATAGTCTTGCACGGTAGTCAGAAAGTTTTGTCCATAAACTGTAGTTTTAAAGAGAGCGTTAATAAACTAGACCAGAAAAAGTTTTTTTCTTTTCTTAAATGATAGACTGTCTGCCAAAACCAAACCCTCAGTTGATGTAGCAGCACTCCCTTGCGAGTCAGGCTTTTTGTCAGTCAATGTAGCAACACTCTGTTGCGAGTCAGTCTATAAGATAGTTGATGTAGCAACACTCCGTTGCGAGTCAGGCTATTAGATAGTGGATGTAGCAACAATCCCTCGTAGCAGCAGGCTATAAGATAGTCGATGTAGCAATACTCTACGCATGTTTCAAAAATATATTTTAATAAAACAACAACAAAAACACAATTAATTTAAAAAAACTTTCTAGTCATTATTATTGCAGTTTTTTTTAAAAAACAATAAAATTTAATGTACTTCCGCATTAATTTAATTGCTTTGATATTTCGACAACAATAAAATGTAGCTTAATTGTCGAGGTAGCAAAATTGTAGTCAAAGAGACTTTTTTTTACATTAAAAGTGCTGCTACATTGACTGAGGGTTTGGTTTGGGCAGGTAGTCTATCATTTAAGAAAAAAAAAAAATTAATTAAGGTTTTTCAACTTTTTCTGGTCTGGTTTATTATATATATGTGTGTATATATATGTGTGTATATATATCAGGCTTGGTCGGGAAGCGGGTGCGATCGCACTCGATAACTGACTACAGAAATAATATTTAATTGCGAAAAACCGGCCAGATTTTTTAGTCGTTTTGAGAAAATTTAAATTTATGTTGGTTTCCTTAATCAAATTCATTATTTTATCGTAAATTTTGTTTTACGGACATACATGGAAACATATATAAACTCGAATGTTCTCAAACATCTTTGTGCGGAAAATAAAAAAAGAATATTTGCGAACACAAAAAACCCGCCAAATCTACGAACAACTAATGCTATTGGTTCAAAAAATACTAACCGAAATTTCTAGAGTATTCTGTTGAAGTATTTTAAAAAATTGTATTATTTGAGTTTTGTTATATTTTCGTTGAGATTTCTAGCATAAATTGTTTTAAGTATATACTATCAAACAAACTATTATTTTGTTGCCACATCTACAAAGCTATAAATGTTTTAAACTAACATTATTTGTTTACAAAAATAAATGTTTTAAATTCATCTTTTTTAACTTGTCAACGTTTTGTAAATATATTATAGGTTTTATTAGTATATTCTTATTATTATATAATGGATGTATTTTATATGTATGTAATGTATTTTTTATGTAATGTATTTTTATGAATGTGTTTTTTGTGCATTTAATTTTATGTATGTGTATTTTATTCATATGTAATCTTTTAAATCAATTTGTGCAATTGATTTTGTAAACAAAAATACTTTCAATAATAACTGCGTTTTTAATGAAATTATTAATAATCATCAAAGTTAATACAAATAGTTTTAACCACTAATCAATTTTCCTCAGTGTACCCGATAACTGATTCTTTACCCCAAGAAAGAAAAGTTTTTAAGTTCTTAGAAATTGGTTTACTAACTTTACTTATTTTTGCTTCAGCCATTCTTACAAACTCATTATACTTAAACTTAAAGTTACTTTTTTCTGTTTTAAATACTAATTAAAATTATAAAGCCCACTTATTAAACATCTTCAGCATTATTGTGAAGCAGTTCCGCTTCCTCCTCACATAGTAATTTAACGTTTTTAGTTAATTTCTATGTAGCTAATTGAATTTCTGCAGTAACTCATTGATTTAATTATTTCATTTGTTCATCTTACTAAGGAAAACTGTTTCAAATGCGTTAAACTTTTCAAACTAAGCGAAGCATAAAACAGTTATTGAAGAAACTTTTTTATTTATAAAGAAATCATCTAGCGTTAGTTTTATTGGTTGAATCTTGTTGAACTTTTCAGGGCCGGGGACTGCATTATTTTGGCAGCCTTTTTTATGTGCCACAGCGTAAAAATGACTAAAAAAATACCCAATGGTCCTCTTGACTATTTCATGGCCCCCAACATTGCGAGTCTCGAGGCTATAGCCCTTCTACTCCCCCCCTACCTCCTCAATCCAGCACTGGAAATATGACATAAGTATATAAATAAAAATTATATATATTCTTTGATAAATCGAAGAACATTTGTTTCCTAATTAAACAATCATTAATAGTATTAGAGGTACCGCCGCCCAAATTTTTTTTCTAAAATAGGCCCTGTATATATATATATACAGGGCCTATTTTAGAAAAAAAATATATATATATATATATATATATATTTTGCTTTATACAAAAAATGTCGCTTAATTTTATAAAAAAAATTTTAAAAGAGCGACGTTTCTAAAATATTTGCTCTAATCATATTTATTTTGCTTAAAGTTTTTTCGCGTCTTTTATAACTCTCTCTCATCGGTCCAGTTAATCTTATTGCGCTTTTAAGTTTGTTTTTGAAATGTTCTTAAAACAACTTAAAAATCTGGCCGGCTTTTCGCAACTAAATATTATTTCCGTGGTCAAATATCGAGTGCGATCGCACCTGCTTCCTGACCAAGCCTGATATATGTGTGTGTGTATATATATATATATATATATATATATATATATATATATATATATATATATATATATATATATTCTAGACTGTTTTCGGGCTATTCTAGACTGTTTTGGACAGCGCCGCCCAAATGAATATCTGAGGACCTTCTTTTTTTTTTATACTTTTTATGGCAAACATTGTTTTTTTCGCTAAGTTTTGCTAGGAAAGGGAGGTACCGCCGCCCAAATTTTTTTTCTAAAATAGGCCCTGTATATATATATATATACAGGGCCTATTTTAGAAAAAAAAATATATATATATATATATATATATATATATATATATACACATATATACATATATATATATATATATATATATATATATATATACATATATATATATATATATATATATATATATATATATATATATATATATATATATATATATATATATATATATATATATATATATCTACTATAGTATATTTATATGCGCAATTGCTCACTTTTTTTGCTAGCCTAAATTAAGTGAGCATTTTTAGAAAACGATGAGGGAAAACGAAGAATAATGAATGAAAATGTTGCTGACCCATACCAAACCCTCAGTCGATGTAGCAGCACTCCACGGCGAGTCAGGCTATTTGTCAGTCGATGTATGTACTGAAGCCCCCGGCAGCAGGCTATTTGATGTTAGGTAGTTATGACATCATCATGCTCACCTATGTCAGCAGTATAAGATATATGAATATATATATATATATATATATATATATATATATATATATATATATATATATATATATATAAATATATATATATGGAATAAACCAAGAAGAAACAAGATGGGAGTAAAAGTGGTAAGGCATGTTCTTATACACAGAACATTAAATAATGATGTATTGATTGATGAATTATATTAGCAATACTGATAAAAGATATAATTTTCTCAAGTAAAATGTGTGGTGCTTTTTTTAAAATGAAATTTAAAAAAAATTTTAAATGAAATTTAAAAAAAGGCATCACGCATTTAAATGAGTTTAAACCAAGAAAACCTGTTTGTTTGTTTTTTTGTTTTTTTTTAAACCCATGGTTTTGGTTGTTTTTTTTGTTTTAAAAAAAAAATTTCTGGATATAGAGTTCAAGCCTAAACAAAAATATCTATCTTGTCTCTCTATTCAACAACCTTGTTTATTTGTATTTGTGTTTGGAATCATAAGGTTGAATAAAGATTGTTTAAAACAAAAACTAGTTTAACTTTGACTGTAATAAAAATAATTGACTGAGAATACACAAGAATAATATATCAAGAGAACACAAATGATTTGAAACTCACATTACCATATTATAATACCTTGTACCTTATTATTTATTTATTATTTTAATTTTCCAAATTTAAATTTATCTAACAGCAATTATTATTATTTTAATAATATTCAAAATAAAGAAAATTACAAATTTTTACCTACCAATAGTGGATATGAAAGTGGTATTAAATGCGTCATCAGAAAATCTAAACAATAGACAGGTTTTACCCACACCACTGTCACCAATAAGTAATAACTTAAATAAATAATCATAAGCCTTTTTTGCCATTATTGTGATACTACAAACGGGAGTACGGACATCTTAAAAAATTATTGTATCAGCCCTGGCGTGGACGCTTTTCTTCAACTTTTTTAATATAAATTCATTACTGAACGTCACTGCAAGTTCAACCATGATGTAATTCATTTTTAAAATATTATAATCAGTCAATAAAAAGTTTATGATCCAAAAAACAAAAGAATGGTTGCAATATCCAAAATTTTTTCGACTTAAGTTTGAGTTATTTACTTAAACTGTTTCGTCTAACGGTTTTTTATTTAAAAACAGTGCGTACACTTTCTTTATACTCTCCTTGTTAAGCAGAATATATGATAGTAACTTTCAGTCAAGAAAGTTTTTATTTATATTTTGTGAACAATTTTTATTTATGTTAATTGCTAATAAATATACTTTTGTTGCAGTTGTTGTTTTATGCTTCAGTTTTATTTTGAAAGTTTCTTTTTTACTATTAAAAGCTGAAACTTTTTGTTTAAAAGTTACTGAAAAGAAAAGTACACATTCTATGTAATAACTTGTATTGTTTATTTGAAAGACAAACAAAATTTTATGACCGCAAATTCACAAACGGAAGATCACGTCTCTTCCCTTACCAGCGTCGCATATTCGAAATTCATAATACTATAGGTATTATGAATTTTGTAAAGTTAAATAAAGTTTTGCTTAAGTTTAAAAAAACTCAATTTTTTTTTTTTTTGGATAATATTAATGACTTGTCTGTTGAAGGGTCGTTTGCTACCTTCAAAAATATTTTTTATTAATGAAAATTTTTAATACAGTATTGCTTTATTATATAGAACACAGTTAAATGTTCCAATATAGCATTTCTTTAAACTGTTGTTGTTCGGTGATAAAATACTTTATCAAATATATCAAAATCAAGTACCTTTAGTGATTAGTTTGGTGATAAAATACTTTATCAAATATCTAAATACAAATATCTGAATACTAATATCTAAATACAAGATCAAGCAGCTATCAACTTTTGTTACATAATTAAGCGAACGTGTTTTTCAGGCACCCTCCTTTAGTGAATCCGTAAAAAACGAGTCACATTTTACGCAAAACATTTATTGAAAACCATACTCTAACCCTGAACCCCACAATAAAGTTTATTTTATTGAAAGCCATACCTTAACCAAACCCTGAGCTTAACCCTAAGGATTAGGATTTGGTTAGGATACGGTTTTCAACAATATTCGTTTCGTGCAAGACTTTTACGAACGTTAAAGGGGCGCCTGAAATACTTGTCCGCCCTAATTTAGTTGGTTTTTAAATATTTTAATAAACAATTTTTATTTTAGATAGAATAACTTTTAAATAGAACTTAAGGATTCAAGTAATTCACAGCCTAATTCTAAGTAATTTGATAATTAGGCCAGAGTTTGAATATATTGTAAACTTATACTTGCCTAATATCAATTTAAAAACTTTTTTTCAACCTTGTTAAAGTTTCTTTTAGAAATTATAAAAGAGTTATGAACAAACTATTTGTCAAAGAAGAAGTTTAGAAGTTGCAACAAATATAATTATATATATTATATATTATTATTAAATATGTGTTCTTTCGACCACGAGTTTACTTTGGAATAATGTTTTTTATGTTTTAATATAACTATTTTTATGCTAACACAAATAAGTTCCAGCATACAAGTGTTATAATTTTACACCAGAAGATGTGCAGTAGTTTCGAAGTTGCCTGTTCAAGGCAGTTGTCACGACTGATAAAAACACCGTACTGATTAAGTATATGAACATTGCATTACATTACATTACAAAGGCAAGTTGAATACGTAATGCCTCTACAAAAAAATTCGTCCAACTGCAGTAATTACATTAAAGATTAAAGAAAAGTCAATTGACAAGAACAGCAAATATGTTGTACAACTTTCTTGTATGTAATTTCACCAATCAAAAAGTACCGGATGATAGGAGTATTTAAACGTTCTCATGGGAGTGGTGGCCTGCCAAAAAAGGGTTGAGGTAGCAACAGAATATCTCATAAATCTGTTGCAAAAAGAGTAAGTATAAAAACATTTATTAACAGGTAGAGATAGAGAAAATCATTATGGTAAAGACAAAAGTATGTCTATATATTTGACGTCTCGATTAAAAAATAATAAAAACTTGTCGAAGATGTATAATAACTGTACTGAAGAACACAAAGTCTCGTATCAGATATTTTATGACATTTTTTTTCTGAGTTTAACACTGATTTTAGTTGTCTGCAAGTAGATGCATGTACCACTTGCAAAAAATTGAAAATTTGATTATGCATGAATTAAAAGTTCAGGTTGAAGCTGAACCTAAACTGAAAAGGAAATTTTATTTGCACAAAGGTGCTGCATTTTACCGCTCCGTAAAGAACTCTAAAGAACACATACAAGATTGTATACGATCTGCAGCAATTACAAGTTCTGCCTAAAAAGCCTGTTCAGGAAGCTTTCTATTCTAAACAATTATCTTTATATAATTTTACTTTATTTAATTATGTGACTTGTCGTCAGGAAAAAATCTATTGTTATCAAATATAGTAGAAAAATGCAGCAAAACCAGATAATTCACTATTTTGGTGCAAATACAAACTAATCCAAATTTAACACTTTCATAAAAAACACCTGATAAAGTTTTTCTGAGTAAATTTTCTACGTTCTGTGAACCATGACCCTAGTGGATGTATGCTATGTTATCTACATTAGAACTCAGGGAAATAAAATAAAGATATTAAGATTTTAAATATGGATTTGTCTGATTTTGCGCGGGAGTTTCTCAAATGAAAGATGTTTGTGGATTAAGGTATAAGGCCCCTCAAAATTTTTAATAAAATTCAAAAAAAATTATTTTGTGTATTTCTTACACGAAATTTATCGCTGAATCCAAAATCCGAATTCAAAAACCTTTTTTAAAAATAAGACAGTTATTGAGATATAAGACGTTTCCTTCAACTGGGTAAATTTGATCTGCTTAGCAACACGCATAGCAACGGTTTTTTTTATAAGAATTGCCAGCTATTTAGTTATTTTTGTGTTATTTAATAAATATTTTTATAACAATGGGTAAATCATGCAGAGTCAAACAAAGTATTCAAAGTAAAAAATCCAGAAGATTTCATGGAAATAGGTATACCAAAAATTTGACAAACAATTCAACTTTATCAGTAGCTCCTGTTAATAACAGTGTTACCTGTTCTGAAAATTATTTTCAATAATACTTCATTAGATTTATCCTCGAAAAAAGTTGAGACACCACATCAAAGTAATAATAAAACTGTTGGCTATCGTATTATTGATATTGAAATTTTATCTGGTGTAATAAGTCAATTATGTTGCAAAAATTGTTTACAATCTGGAATATATCTTGCAGAATGTTTTCCTAACAAAAAGGAATTGATGCTGAATGTATGCTGCCCTAATTGCAACAAAAAAATTAAATTTTATACTTCAAAGACATGCTTTGGCAAGAAAAATTTTGATGTAAATAATAGAATAGTTTATTCTATGCGTGCATGTGGTCAAAGTTATTCAGGATTAGAAAAATTTACCTCTTTAATAAACATTCCTGCACCAATGGCTAAGAACAATTACAACAAAATAATTAAACATGTCTCTGATTATGCAAAAGTTGTCGCAAAAGAAACAATTTCTGACGCTGTTAAAGACATTTGTTAATCTTCTTCAAATATTGTTGATACCGCAGTATCAGTTGATGGCAGCTGGCAATGTTGTGGATTTTCCTCAGTAAATGGAGTGGTTACTGCTACATCAATGGACACAGGTAAAATTCTTGATCGTGAACCAATGAGTCGATCATGTAAAGCATGTAGTTTAAAACTAAAACTAAGAGAAAATAACCCAAATGCCTTTGAAGCTTGGAAATCATCACATCTATGTAAATTAAATTATCGTGGCTCTGCTCCTGGAATGGAAGTAACTGGCGCTCAAAGAATATTTAGCCATTCTATTTCACAAAATAAATTGAGATGTGTAAAGTATTATGATGACGGCGATTGTAAAAGCTATTCGTATGTTAAGGATACTTATCCTAGTATAACGGTGTGTAAGTTGGAGTGTGTTGGACATGTACAGAAACATCAATAGTTGGTGTCATTATAATCAGCTAATTTAATGTCTACCTACAAGCCAGGTGCTGGTCTTCCAGACTCAATTGTCTGTCATTTAAAGCCTATGTAAATAGATTTATCTCAAGAAGAACTCTTTAAAAATATGCTTTCATGGTAAAACCCAAAACCAGAGTAAAAGTTTTAATGGGATGATATGGCAGCGCATACCTAAAACAAAGTATGTTTCATTAACGCAGTTGGAGTTAGGGGTTTATGATGCTGTTTCAAATTTTAATATCGGAAGAAAAGCAAGCACACCTTTTTTTGAAAGTTAAATATGATTCTTGGTATATATACTCTGCAAGGCTGTTCAACCATGCTTAATTTTTGCAGAATATCAAAATCGGATTACATCTAAAAAGCGACGAAAAGTTATTCGTGGATGCAAAAAAAAAAAAAAAAAAAAAAAAAAAAAAAAAAAAAAAAAAGATGATGCAGAGAATGAGCAAGAAGGCTGTCTTTACGACCCTGGTTCATGTTCATATAAATAAAAGTTTTTAAATTGAGTATATGAGTGAAATATTATGAAAATTTATGAATATAATATTCAAACGAGTTTTTCTCAATATGTAAGTTTTTGACCTCCCGGCCATCCTATCTCATTAACCGTAAGTAAAATTTGCATGATATTTTCACCAAATGTTTATTGCATCTAGTTGTACAATTGGAACTAAAGGTTTTCTAATACAATTAAGAGTTTTTGATTTATAGAAGTTTTAAGTTACAAAAACATAATTTTAATACGCCATTTTGAAAATTTTATTATAGGTTAAGCACTTATTTTTTTAAAATAATTTTAGTTCAGCTTGTAGATCAATATGATATTAACCATTTGCCGAAAATTCATAATCTACACGCATTTGGTTACTGGGATAGCTTGGCCGGGGTAACTTAAATATTTTTGGATGTCGGCCATTTTACTTGGTAGCCATGACAGCTAATAAATTTATTTTGTATTTTTTAAAATCCTGTTATCTAGTTGTTTCTCATGATAGAATTGGTTTTTTGTTCAAAAGTTTTTTTTAATAAATTTTTTTTTGAAGGGTCTTATACCTTAATTATCCAGACATTTTAAAATAAAGTTTCACGTGGCGTATGCAAAAAACTGTTCAAAAGTGTTGCCTTTATCTGCAGATAAGAAGATAATAAAACTTCAAGTTAAAATATTTACTTTTTTTATATAGAATATATTTAAAAGAAATACATTTACAACTAAATATAGTAAATATATTTAGTTATAAATATATATTTATTTAGTTAATTTTACTCTTTCTTCAGTAAGTTGTTTTGTAATTGAAACTATTTTATTTCTTTATTTTACTTTTAACATACACACACACACACACATACACACACAAAAATGAATATCAACTTTATTTTCTAGGAAAGTTATTTAATGTTTATTTTTATTTTGTTGAAGTTTTTTATAACCTTTATAAATGAAAAACAGTTTTTCAAGTATATAAGAGATTAATAGAGATGTAGGAGAAACTTGTGTAGACCTAAATTAAAGAAAAAAATAAAATAAACAATGATAAAGAATCAAAAAAACATTGGTCGTTTTTTTACATTTTTTTGCCTCGTAGAGCTAACTCCAGGTAATTTCCGACTTTAGTGGTAACTCTGAGCTTTGTTGGGAATTTCTAAAAAATTAAACTATAAATTAAACTATAAAAAACTTTTTTTTTTCCTAATATCTTTTTTTATATTTTAAATATGCAACTGACATGAAATTATAATATTTTTTACTTATTTTAAATCCTTTAAAAAAAAAATTTTGATAAAATGTTTATGCGACCATGTGCAAATCGAACATGGTAATATTATATTTGTGCGGATTTGAACGTTAAATATTTTTAGTTTTGACAATAACTTACGAGCATAGTATAAAACAAATAAATTAAAAAAGTTTTTAAATCATAAATAAAAAAAAGAAAGTAAAATCTCTTTAAGCAGAAGTTCATTTTAACAAAAATATTTAAACTTTTTAATACAAAAGCAACAAATTGTAAATTGTTAAAGTTGTAAAGTAAATTCTTAAAAAAAAAAAAAAAAAAAGGCGCAAAACTGAATATAAAAGTATAAATACGAGTCTTAAATTAAAAGAAAGTTACAATTGTTCGTAAATTGTCAGAACAACATACTAAAAATAAAAACAACGGCGTATACCACATATCTTTATGGTGTAATTTATGATCTGAATATTGATACAAACCATTTCGCCCTAATTTTTGTCAAGAACGTTTTTCGTTTACCAACGCAATCAAACTGCAACAAAAAAAAAAAAAAATGAAGATACAAAAAACCAATTTAACTAAAATTTACAATTAAAATTAGAAACTTTTTATGGACATAATCCATCATTGGTAATCAATGATATAATAAATCATCAATAAGTAATGTATTACATTATCAGTACTTTTAGTCATTTCTGAATACAGGATTACGAGGAGGCTAGGGACTGATTAAAATTTTGATATTTTTAAAATAAACATTTTACATCATTTTATAAATTTTACTTCAAATGATAAACATCCCAATGAAAGTATTTAAAGGAGACACATCCCAATGAAAATAATTAACAAAATAAAAGTGTTTAAGGAAGACCTTAATGAAAGTATTTAAATAAGGTAAACAAAAATGAAAATACTTTCCAGCAATGTAATTATCACCAGACATTTTCCAAAACTCTATAATATTTACTTTCAGAATCCAAAATATGCTATTGTCAATAAAACTGTACCTAAAACTTTTCGACAAAAAATTAATGATAAATTGTGATTTTAACTTCTATTAATAACTGATAAAAATCTTCAATTTTCAACATATTTTCTGGATCGTAGATATTAAATCACTAGACAAATAATTGCAATGCGCTACAAGACTTTTTTTGAAAAATTCTTTTTTTTTTTCGCTAATGTTCTCCAGACAATAAAAGATTATTATTATTATTATTATTTTTATTTTTTTTGGGGGGGGGGAGGGGGGAGGGGGGGGAAGGGAAAATTTGTCTACCTTTTTTTTATTCATCTTTTTGTACCTCATTACTATTTTCTAAACTTATAAGATCCTCTTCTTCTAAGAACTTCAAGTTTTAAAATGTAAACACTTAAAACTTCTCTATCTCAGACAACTGCCAGTCTATGAAATTCAATTTAGCCGTGTGTTAAACGCTTATCAAATTAATAATAATATATAAATTAAATATCTTTTACAATAATTTCTTTTTAACTAAATTTAAATAATTTTCAGTCTTTCCAGTATTTTATTTAATTGTCGTTTTTACAAGTCTTTGTACTTTGGAAAATCATTTAATAAGGAAGCTTACTGCTGTCTACCCCACTGTTATCGCTTTTATTGCTAAGGCATCAATCCTCAGAACTTTATAAACAAAATAAGCAATAATTTTAAAATGTTTAGAAATTCAGCCACAGTGTATTACTGTATTTTGTTGTGCATTTCAAATTTTTTTTACTTTGCAACTTTAAAAAAAAAAAAAGATATTTCAATAATGACAATAATACAAAGCACAATGAAAACACATAAAATTCTTTTACTTCAACATAAAAAACTAATATGCCATTATGTAAACAACTAATATACCAATATGTAAACAACTAATGATTCATTATGTAAACAACTAATATACCATTATGTAAACAACTAATGCACCATTATGTAAACAACTAATGATTCATTATGTAAACAACTAATATACCATTATGTAAACAACTAACGCACCATTATGTAAATAACTAATGATTCATTATGTAAACAACTAATATACCATTATTTAAACAACTAATACAGCATTATTTAAACAACTAATGATTCATTATGTAAACAACTAAAGATTCATAATGGTGATTTAAAACCTTCAGAATTCTATAAAACAATTTCTTGCAGTTTTTAAAATGACTGCAATTAAAAATCGAATAAAAGCCCATAATTAACCTAAATTGTTAAGACAATTTATTTTCTAACAATTTTTGTTACGTATGAGTACAACTATGTAAAAATGTCAATATTAACAAGCTAATGTGCAAATATTGCAATATCCATAATGGCAAATACGAGTATGCCAATACAGCCCCAATACTGGGATTCTAAAATTGGACAAACAATATTGGTAAGCCAATAATGGTGCAATATTGTTTACCATTATTGGCACATTATCGCATAGCTTGTCTGATATTGGCCAAGATAACTAATATCACATTATCATTGCACCAATATTTCTTGCTACAAAGGTAATGTACCATTATGTGAACAACTAATGTACCACGATGTAAACAATAACAGTTTTATTTATAACAACTTTAATTTTCATTTAAAATGAAATACACTTAAATTAATGAAATTTAAACTTCATTAACTTCAGTACATTAAATTAAAAAAGTAGAAGATTCAGTAAAAATATTGCCACTCATCAATACAATAAGAAAAATAGAAGACTCAGTAAAAATGTTGTCATTCATCAATACAATTAGAAAAGTAGAAGACTCAGTAAAAATATTGCCATTTATCAATACCAACAAATTTTTTTTTTTTTTTTTTATTTGCATTCACTCCCAACAAGGCTGCAAGCAACCACTATCAAGTTGGGAGTTACTAGGAAAAAAAAGAACAGAGTTATAGAGCAAGGAAACGGTTGACAGAAGACTTGAAAAGTTGAAGGTTGTATGAGTCAGGAAAACATGAAGATGGGAGAGAGTTCCAAAGGATTGAAGTGCGGGGAAAAAAACTAGATGAATAAAAGTTTTTAGAGCATGCAGGGACAGATACAGTAAACGAATGAGACTTAGCTGAGTGACGAGTAAAACGAGAATGAATTTTAGTTGATGAAACTAGAGATGATAACTCCTTTGAGCAGTGACCAGGATAGTATTTGTAGAAAAGAGAAAGAGATGCAACTTTATGACGATGGGAAAGAGGCTCAAGCTTAGCTGATAGTCCTGGTCCAACAACATTTACAATGCGTTTTTGGACCTTGTCAAGAAGAGAAAGTGAATCGTTAGAAGAACCAGCCCAAATATGACAACAGTATTCCATACAGGGACGAATAAGAGATTTGTAGAGGTAGAGAATGGAATCAGAAGTAAGAAAATGGCGAGCACAATAAAGAGAAGCAACCTTAGCAGAAGCTAATTTAGCAATCGATTGTATATATGGTTTCCATGAAAGGTCAGTAGTAAGCGATAATCCAAGAAGACATAAAGAGGACGATTCAGTAAGAGGATTGCCATTCATTAATATAGGAATGTTGACCATATTACGGTAGTTGTTTGCAGTAAGCAACTGGGTTTTTTTAGAGTTGAAATTCACAAGCCACTGTGAACCCCAATCTATTACTGAAGTGTGATCGGATTCAAGATCATCTGCAAAAAGAGCTACTTTAGATGAAAGGTTGTCAGGAAGATCGTTTATGTAGATAAGAAACAAGACAGGGCCCAGGATAGAACCTTGGGGAACCCCAGAAGTTAATGGAAATAAAGAAGAGTGTTGGCCTTCAAGGATGACATTAATAAACCGGTTAGAAAGAAATGATTTGATAATCTCAAAAACTTTCCCAGAAACACCATATGAAGCAAGCCCACGGAGAAGACCAGCATGCCAAACTCCGTCGAAAGCTTTAGATATGTCGAGAGCAATAGCCCCAGCCTCACCGCCTCCATCCAATGCACGATAAAATCCTTCAGTTACAGCAGTTAGCAAGTCGGCCGTAGAGCGAGAGGATCGAAAACTGTATTGATTGTCTGACAGTAGTTTATTTAAGTCAAGATGAGATGTGAGGAATTTGTTGATCAAAGACTCAAAGACCTTGCTAATAACAGAAAGAAGACTGATCGGACGGTAATTGGAGGGGTCAGAATTTTCTCCAGAGTTTTTGAATATTGGAACCACAGATGCCATTTTCCAACAAGCAGGAAAACAAGACTCAGTCAAACACTTGTTAAACAGTTTAGAGAGAATTGAAGAAAGTTCTGGAGAACAATTCTGCAAGACTGTGACAGGAATGTTGTCTAGACCACAAGCTGTAGATGAGTTTAATTGAGATATGACTTTAGCAACAGAAGCCGGAGTGATTTGAATGTCTAACAATGGGTCAACCTGTTTGACTGGAATGGAAGGAAGAGAATGTCCATAAGATTCAAGAGTGGAATTAAAAGAAAAGTTATTTGCAAATAGTTCTGCCTTATCCTTGGGAGAGGTAATAAGATCAGTCCCATGAATGAGAGATGGAATGTTAGATCTACCCTTGTTGATAATGCTGTTGAAGATTTTCCAAAAGTCTTTAGAGCCTAACTTCTGTGATAAGATGCAAGATTTAGTGAACTGAGAATAATGGAGTTTAGCATCAGAAAGCACCTTTTTACATCGATTTCTTGCAATAATAAATAGCCGTTTGTTCTCAAGAGAGTTGTTCTTTTGAAAAAGATGAAAAAAATGATTATGATTGGATATAGCAGCCGCACAAGAAGGAGAAAACCTGGAGTAGAATGAGGCTTGACTTGAAACCGACGCGAAGGAATAAAAGCTTCCATTCCAGCCTGAATCCAGGAGGTTATGTAGGAGGCGCATTTGTCAGCTGAGAGAGAAAAAACATCAGCCCAAGGACCATCACGAAGAAAATCACGAAAGGAATCCCAGTCAGCTTTAGGGTAGTAGTAGGTGGTGCGATGATAAGGTGAGCCCAAAAAAGAAGTATGAGAAGAAAGATTTATAGAGATCATTGCATGGTCAGAACCACCTAAGGGAGAAAAGGGAGAAACTGAACATAAGCTAGGGTCAGAGACAAGACATAAGTCAAGGAGTGAAGGTAAATGATTAGGGTTGTCAGGAAAACGAGTCACAAAGTTAACTATCTGAGTAAGAGATTGAGAAACGCAGAAGTTAAAGGCTTTAGTGCCAGCAGGATCAGTGGTGTTAGAGCCAAGCCATTCAGTGTGATGGGCATTAAAATCACCAACAACAACAATATTGGCAGAGGGGTAAAGAGACAGAGCATGGTCAATTTGATCAGAGATAACATCTAAGAGAGTGCAATCATGGGAAGAAGGAGAACGATAAAGAACAAAGAGAAAGGTGATAGAGTGAAGAGGTGCTAGGCGAAAGCACATAAAAGAATGGTCAAAGGATTCGAACCTGATTTCACGACAAATAAGGGAATTAATGCGTATGTATACCCCTAAACCTAGCATGTGACTATTGGAGTCTTTACGAATCAAAGGATAGTACCCATCAACACTGACATCTGAAGAAGGAATTGCAGAATTTAAATTTGTTTCACTGAGTGCAAGCAAGTCCGGTGAATTTTGCAGGAGGTAAGACTCAACTGATGGAAAGTTGCTTCGTAGACCGCGAATATTTGTAAAAGATATATTAAAATATTTAGGTGGGGATGGTTTTTTAGGTCTTAAATTTTTGGTTACTTTGGTCATGATTTGAGTTTAATGAGAACTTGACTCATTCATAGATAGAGCACAGCCTCCTAATCAATGAGCTATGCAGTTGTCTCTGTCCTGTTAATTAACCCTAAGCCGTGACATAGGGCTCCTTATGTGGCCTTGACAATGCACACCAAAAGCATTAACAAGGACACCATCCATGCGCAACATGGCACTGTTAATACTCTGATATTTTGCAGCTGTTGATGGAATCAGCCTCTCTGAGAGCTACCACCGAGTTCGGGAAACCTTACTACCAGCTGGCCTCAGAACCATTAAACTGAGTTTTAGAGCTGTACCCTCATATGGAAATAACAGGAAGAGTTGCATAGCCATTATCAAGGAGGCATAAGCAAAATTCAATGAGTAGAGTCAAGGAGATCCAGCATTCATCATCCTAGGCAGGAAACAATGTAACAGATTACATCTACGCCAGCCTAATAGATGAAGAAGGGGTTCGAGGCTGGTTAGCAGAATTTTTCTGCTTACCCTTAAAGTCTTTGCCTAGGAGGCCTTCTACAAGACAGTAGCTGGATGCAGTTAACATCTGCCCAAGATGAGTATTTTTATCGAGACACCATCTCTAGCCTTTACTCAACTTTTGCTTTAATTTATTTTTTATTTTTATATAATATGCTTTAATTATTAATTTTTTTTTAAATTTTTTAAAAATTTTTAAAAATTTTTTTAAAATTTTGCTTTAATTATTAATTTTGCTTTAATTATTGCTTTAATTATTAACATTAAACAAATGAGTTTGTTTGGGTTGAAATTTTCTGGCCACTTCAAGCCTCTAGTACATAAAAATGTCTAAATCCTAATAAAATGTTCAATATATTATCCTTTCATTATTTAATTTTCTACAGCTCTTAATACTATTGACCTTATACAAAGAAAAAATATTAGCTTTTTTTAACTCTTAAAAAGTGCTGTCTAAAAAGAAAACCATCAAGTTGCAACTTATTAACATTTTTTATACTTCAGTTGCTATTCATGTGAGCTATCACCATCATCTGAAATTCAATTTTGTATAATTTATCATCAAACTTAGTAACACACTTTTACTGTAACTGTTCTTTCAAAGTTTTATTTATCTAGTTTTTTTCTCTGGCATTTTGGAGTTTTCTTTTATCTCAACAATTTCCTGTCTCATACAATTTACATTTTTTGATTTTTTTAAAAAACTTTTCAACAGCTTTCTTTCTTCAACAGCTTTCTTTCTTCAACAGCTTTCTTTCTTCAACAGCTTTCTTTCTTCAACAGCTTTCTTTCTTCAACAGCTTTCTTTCTTCAACAGCTTTCTTGCCACTCTCACTCTTTATGTTAACTCCCAACTTAATTAGTGATTGTTTGCAGCCTTGTTGATAATGAACTTGTTTAAAAGAGTTACAACTATTACTTTAAAAAAAATGTAAACAATGTTTATTGTTAAAAAAAGTAGATATTGTAACAAAAAATCTTTGACTACTTTCATTCCAGTCAATATCATTAGAAAAAAGTTGAAATTTATTGTAAAATGGTGTTATAAAATGCTAAACAAACTCATATACTAAATTATAGTTTGACACTATGAGTCAGTTAAGCTAAAAGTTAGAAACCATTTTGATAAAAATATTTATTTAGAGGAACTCAGATGAATTTAACATAATTATCTAATTTCAAAATTAAGCCTTATAAAGTTGTTGAATTGTTTTTTTAAATTTGCATTTCAACTCAGATACAAATAAATATATATATTTAAAATTAATACAATTATATCTATAAAAACTTTTAAGATAACATTCAATTTTTTTAAACATGTCTTTATTTTAATAAAGATTTCCATTCTGTGATATTGACAGGAATGAAAATTTATACAAACATTTTCTGATGATTAAAAATCTATTTTTACAAACTTAGTGGGTGCATGCCAATATGAGAGGTGACCAATCTCCATTTTCATCAACAAATAACGCAGAGATAGCAAAGCATAAAAACAAAGCTCCTCCCACAAGAGTTACTAATAAAGAAAAAAATCTACTTAGATGTTTAAACAACTAGAAAATAGTTTACAAAATCAAATGCAAAAAAATTAAACTGACCAGTTCTGATTGATATTCTTTGTGCAATTAATCTACCACCAAGAACAGCTAATCCAGTGCATAATGAATGACCAATCACACCACCTAGTGTAACACCTAACGGATTCTGTAATAATGAATTTTATATAAATAGATTAAAAAATAATTACACATAAAATTCGTTTAGAAAAACAAGATACAGAGATAAAGTGCAGATACATAAATTATTTAAAAACACATATGAATTAATGAACCTCTCGAGATCCTAAAATAATAGTAGTAAGTTGAGATCGATCACCCCATTCAGCTAAGAAAGTCATTGTAAATGATTGGATTAGTATAGGAGAGCAAAAATATGTACAATATCTGATAAACTTTGATGGAACGTTTTTTGACCTAATTCCTGTTTCCAGATCTGATTTGCTTACAGCTTCAAACTAAAATTTAAAAAAATAAATCATTTTATTACTTATTCATTTTATATACATATACCTCTTATAAAACTTCATACCATATACATCTTAAATTCTTTTAAAAAAACTTAAACTACAACTAATCTTTTTAAATAAATTTCAAATATTGCGGATCTTATATTTACCTTTTTTTTATCTTTTGCAAAAAAATAGTTATTTTACACATGTGGAAATACAGAGTGGAAATCCTACCTTTCCTTTTTTATTGTGTACCATTTAAAGCATTTAAAAAATTTAAAGCCCGTTTTCTCATTTTGAAAAAATAATCAAGAGTGATTAAACAAAAATGGCAAGCAGCAGTTCAGCACAGTCTATCTAGTTCAGCTTGATGCATGATGCAGTTGAGGTAAAACAACCCCAAAAAGTGATCTTTATTGTTTTCCAACAAAATAAACCGTCTTTACGTTTAATGTCATGTTGTTGAATTGATTGCCAATAAAGGACGGGAGCTGCTCCCATATCTACAACATTAGCATATAGAAGCTCCCACATACTATCACCTTAATCACTCATTGGAAAACTGTCAAAAAAACAAAATTTACATAATTCAGATGCCTTAATAATCAATATCAAAACATGAACTGTATCCAAGAACATTAAATCTTTTCCCATGGAGTCGACTATCAAACCAAATAGGAAGCAGTTCTTGAAATGGATGGTGACTATGCTCAAAAGTTATTATCAAACCATCTATTTTTTAAATTTCTTTTACCATTTTTGTTAAATAAAAAGTATTAAAAAAAAAATTAATTATGCATTGACCTAATATATAAATTTATATTTAATAAAAATATACAACTATTTTAATAATAAAGATTTAAATTTTTTGTCATTGAGAAAAATTACACAGCAAAAAAATTCCAAAAAGTTCAGACAAAAAAACTATATGCAGTTGACTGTCTCAATTTTTGATGATGCGGTTTTAAAACTACGCAATTGAATTGATATTATTGGAAATTATATATTTTACACTACCAATGTAAAATCTAATTTTCTCTAAAATATAAACCAAAATAAAAGTTTTAGAAAAAATTACTCTTATAAAAGAAAAAAAAAAAAGAAAAATTTATCAACTCTACTTTTTTCCTCGAATAAAAAGGTAGTATGTTGCTATAGTAAAAGCAGACAAAAATATATATTAAAATGTTGTCTAATCAAATAATTTTGTAGTATCTATAAGCAGTGCTCAAGTAAAAACTAATTTCCATTAAATTAAAAATAGTATCCCATCTAATCATTTTTATATTAGGAAATTTATAAAAAGGTGGCAGGATGGTTCATACTTTATAAAAAAGATGTCATCCAGCCACATCCTATCTCATTTCGAGCACTGTTTCAAATTTCAAAATGCATGCTGTTTTCTTTATTATAAACCCTATGTAATTTTTTCTTAACATAAAATTTTTTATAATTATAACCATATTTTTAAATTACACAATTTACAATTATTAAAAATATCACCTCAGCTTCTTTTTTTTTTAATTCTGCAGACACTTCTTCTAATTCTTCTTGGCCTTCATTTGGATCCATGTGGTATCCTTCTTTTAACATTTTCAGCCCAAAGAAAGCAAACAAAGCCGTAGAAATATAAAATGTATACTTTCTAGGAATAACAGTGGTAGCATAACCAAGAAACACTGATAAAATAGTCATTAAACTTAATGCAGCTATTGCACCAGTGAAAATAATTAACCTAGAATGTCTCATAGCCATTATGGCAGCTATAAAAAATGTTTTATCACCTAGTTCAGAAACAATAATAACAGATATCGAGGCTATAAAAGCATGTAGAAAACTATAATCAAGAGTTGGCTTTTGTCTTGCAGGTGAAACATGAGTAGGAATGATTGCATTTGCACCCTATGTAAACAATAATAACTATTATGCATAAATTTAAAAAATTACTATTTTTTACAATAAAAATTACAATATTTTTTAAATTACAAATATATTTTAATGTAATTTAAAATATAATAATAATATATAATTTACATTTACAACTATATGTAACTTTATTATTTCAACTGTAATTAGAATTTTTTAATTCTAAAAAATATAGATGTACTGCTGGGGCTATATAACTAGAGAAGCAGTTTAAATAAAGTCGTACTTTAAAACAAGTATTTATTGGATAGAATATGAAATTTTAGCAAATATTTATCTAGCATATGAAGAAACACACAAAAACTTCACAAAGCTGTTGTAAACTCAAATTTTATTAAGGAAGTTAAAAGTTTGGGGTTATTTGAGAATTTTCTTCCACTCTATTTATTTATTAGTTTTATACAGTATTTATTCATACAACATAATACATTCTTTATTATCACCTTGGTTGGGAACCTGTAAAGTTTATATTTATTAGCCTCCAAACAAAACTTTTTGTGTTTTTTGAAAATAATTTACTCAATAACATTTTAACAAGTAGTAAAAAGTTTGTTATTTAAAGATTAGATATAAAAAGTTTTTTTATATCTTTTTGAAAGATTTATAAGACTTTCTATGAATTCTTCTTTAACCTGTTATTTTTGAAAGATTTATAAGTCTTTCTATGAATTCTTCTTTAGCCTGTTATTTTTGAAAGATTTATAAGACTTTCTATGAATTCTTCTTTAACATGTTATTTTTTACTTAGATTAAAACTTTATTTTAATAAATTATAGAATTATTATAGAAAAATTAAATTATTAATTATAAAAAACCTAATTATAATTAGTTAATTAAAAATCTAAAGACTTTTTGTATCTGTCATATTTTATTTAGACTAAAGTATGCAAGTCTTTTATTTTATCTTTTCAACATGAAAAGTTTCAATTCTTATGACTAATCAAAATTCTCCTAACAAATTATTTTATAAGCTTATTTTATTTATACAAAATCACTCAACAATGGTTTTTTAATTTTTATAAATTACTTTTTCTTAACTTCAAGAATTAGAGTGGTCAATTAATCTCAACTAGAGAACTTTAGGGGCCATCTCACTTACTAATTAAGTTTCCATGTGTTTCTTTTGTATTTAAAAAAAAAAAATGTCTAAATATTGTAAATTGTTAACTATTTAGGTAAATACTTGTTGTATAATAACTTCCATAAGATTTTGTATAATAACTTCCATAAGATTTTGTTTTGAAAGACTTTGAGATTCAAGTGATTTGCATATTTTTATAAAAATAAAGGAGGGCACAAAACAGTTTTCAATTGATTGGCGATTATTTAATCCATTATATTGATTTCACCATCCTAAAAACTTCGAGATGATTCCGCCAAGAAAGAAACTCAGAGTTGAAGAAAGATATTAGATAAGTGTTCTTTACGAATATGTTCTTTAATATTACTGAATATAAAACATTGAGGCCTACTTATATAAATTTCACTAATTCATTTTATATATATATATATACGAAGCCATAGCATGACATGAACTACACCTCCACAACTTGCAGGCTATCCATTTGGTGATGAATTTAAAGGAATGGAGAAGTAGTTTTCTAACCAAAAATGGTAGCAGAATAAGATCACCCTAAAAAATCAAAATTGCAAAATCTCGCATCTTCTATTGCTCGCAAACAAAATGATAGCTTTCCTTAATAAATTTAAAAGAAAATTTAAAATTTTATTAACAAAAACATAAACAAATTATTACTTTTTATATATAATGACTAACTCTATTTTAATCTTTTCTTTGAATTTATTGATCTAATTTTAATATTTGAATGTCTCAATGTATTTTATTACATTTATATTATATTAATTTACATGCCTCAATGTATTTTATTACTTTTATATTAATTTGCATGTCTCAATGTATTTTATTACTTTTATATTAATTTGCATGTCTCAATGTATTTTATTACTTTTATATTAATTTGCATGTCTCAATGTATTTTATTACTTTTATATTAGTTTTTTATGTTATATTTAATGCACATATTTTACTTTTAATTCTGAAAATAATTTTTGCTTTTTAAATAATTTGAATAAACATAATAAAATTTTATTCTATATTTAAAATTTAAAAATGAGAGTTTAACTTTTAATTTACTACATCTGGTTTTTATAAATTTTTTTTTATTATTATTACACTTGAACTCGAGAATTCAAATCATTGAGGGTCTCAAAATGTGTTAAACTTATAAGAGTTTTCGAGTTATAGGAAATCAATCCTAAATATATTAAACCCTGAAGTGACCAAAGAATTTGTTTGATTTAAATGATCTTTCAAATTATAGGAGTTTGAATTACAAGAGCTCAATTGTATTATTTTTTCACAAATGTTAATATATTTTTATTTGATATAAAGTATAAACCATCTCATATCAAATTTAAAAAGTTAATAAATGCTGCTTCTTATTAATTTAATAATTTAATTTACATAAAAATTTAATAAAAATGTGATTAATCATATTAACTAAGCTGTTTTCTGTCAAAAATATCACAGTTTAAAAATTCTAAAATTAATACAAATGAAATACCTAGAAAAAAATTTTTTGGGAGATGATTCTAAACACATGTAGAGGTCCATTGCAAGGGATTTTGAAATCTTTTGAAACTGTTTGTGAGACTTTTTTTATTTTTAGTTCCCCCCCCCCCTTCTTTTTTTTTTTTTACTTTTGTAGGGAAGGTCAACACTTTGTCCCACAAAAAAAAAAAACATTAAATAATAACTCTTTAGAAATTTAAAAGTATTTTTATAAAAAACTATTAAAAATTCAAGTTGAATAATTTTTAATAGATTAAAAAGCAGCTTCAAAATTCCTAAAATGTTATTTGCCTACTTTGTTTTCTCTAATTGTATTACAAGTATTGTTTAATAAGTCACACATGACAAGCAAAAAACCATCAGCAATAACTAGCAAAAATAATTTTTTTTAGTGAAGGTTCTTTTATGACGTGATCAGGAAGAGAGTCCCATTTATCATTTATTCTCATAGAAAAAAAGTTTCTACGCATATTGAAGCAGAAAGAATGTTTTTTTTATTTTGAATAAATGACCATGGGTAATTAACTAATTAGATTTGCACGAATTAGTCAGTATAATACATATTTAGTGCTAACAGTCTTTGTTTATACACAAAATCATTTTTGAGCATTTAATTTGTTTAGAAGATCTTTTTAATAAGTTTTCCATTTGACATTTGTCTTTAATAAGCGGCGGGATGCAGATTGGTCAATAATTTTCTAATTGGGGGTGGATTAGAGCTGAGAATAGTTTTTTAAATGAGTATAGATTCGGATAAGATATAAAAATGATCTTTTTATCAGACTCAATATTTGAGTTGCTTTGTCGACTTGAATAATTATGTGTTTTGAAAATAATAAACTTGAATCTACATGAACACCTAAATCTTGTTCGCAAATTGTGGGCTTAATGCTGACTTTGTTTTGATTTGAATTATATATAGTGTATGTATAGGATTTGCTGTTGTGTCCTAAGTGTAGTACAGACCATTTAACAGTGTTAAATTTCATTCCCCAATTTTTGAGACCATAGAACAAGAGCTTCAATATCGCTTTTTAATTCTTGCAGAGATTGAGTATTTTTAAGAGAACGAAAGATTTTGGTATCATCAGTGAAAAGTGCAGCTTTTGGCTTTATTACTTTAGGGATATTGTTGACATAAATAATTAAATATAACACAGAAAGGACAGAGCCTTAGGGAACTCCACTTTCAATGGAAACCTAGTTTGAGTAAATGCCATTTACAACAACTCTTACAATTACTGTCTACAGTTTTCCAGAGAACTTTTTATCAAACAAAGTAATGGTCTATTTATATCATAAGCTTCAAGCTTCAAGATAAGAAAGTTATGTGAAGCCTTGTAAAAGACTTTTTCAAAATCGAGATAAATATTGTCAATGAGAATATTATTATCAAGTGATAATGTCTAATAAACAATAACATTTAGTAGGTTGATTAAACAGGAGTGACTTGGGCAAAATCCATGTTGGTGTGGACTTTATATATAATAAAATAAGTTGCTGTAAATTAGGTGTGCCATAATATGATTTTGTATTATCCTTTCAAAAAATTTTTTACTGATATACAAGTTAGACTGATAGGTCTATAATTAATAGTTTTTGATTTGTCTCCTTTTTTAAATATTGGTGAAATTATTGCATCTTTTCACATTTGTGGTATAATATTCAAGGATTTCCTTTAAAATATTAGATAGATGTTTCGAAATTTAAAAGCCAGCTTTCTTAAATAATATTTTGTCAAGGCTTGATAATTTAGATGTGTTTAGATTCCTTAATCTAAACACATCTAAATCAGGTATTTATGGATATTTTCTGGACTTCTGGAGATCAATATTGTTTAAAAGTAGATTATCATTTTTATATCTTAAGTCAAACAGCGGTATTTCTGTTTTTTTTCTATTGAAAAGTAGTTACAAAATATTAGTTGAATAGTTGAGCTTTATCTAGATTCGATGTTGCAACTTTGTTATTATAGTAGATGTCTAAGAATGTCATTTTTTTTTTCTTTTTGATTTGACATTTGACATTTGATTTGAGTAAAAAGCTTTTGGGTTTTCATAAATGTTTTTAGTAATTTTTTTTTTCGAATTTGATAATTACTTTTCTGCATGTTGTTTTTCTGCATGTTGTTTTTCTGCATGTTGTTTTTCTGCATGTTGTTTTTCTGCATGGTTTTGTTTTAAGATGCGATACTCATTTTATGCTCACTTCTGTTTGATATTTTAGCAATATTTTGCATGTTTACTTTTTATTTTAACTTAGTATTCAATTGTTGATCCATTTTGAGCATTTTATGTTTTTGATATTTTGATATATTGTTGTTTATACTAGTTTTATGCTTATTGTAAAAGATACTCCTTAGTTGGTTTTCATCAGATTTAAA